TTGGTACTAGGGATTAAACCCTATGGTTCTTTACCCCTGAGCTACATCTCCAGTCCTTTTAATTTTTTTTCTTTTTTACAGTTTTGAGAAAGGGTCTCACTAAGTTGCTTAGGGCCTCACTAAATTGCTGAGGCCAGTCTCAAACTTGGAATCCTTCTGCCCTAACCTCCTGAGTTACTGGGCCTACAGATGTGTGCTACTGTACTGAGCAGGATATGGTGTGTGTGTGTGTGTGTGTGTGTATTGCAGTGCTGGGGACTCAACCAGGGTTAAGGGAAAAATGGGAGGAGAGGAAGTGCAGTGCACATAAGCATTCACAACTCTTTTGAGGAATTTTGCTGTACAGAAAAAGGAGAAAAGTGGAGCATAACTGGTGGGGAAAGTAGGGTCAAGACATATGAGAACTCTCAGCATGTTTGGGAGCTTTAGGGAGAAGGAGGAACCAAGAGACGTTCCCTTCTGATGAGTTTAAATTTTTAGAGAGGCAGGGACCCACCATCTCATTGCATCCCTACCACCCTTAATCTCAATTATTTTCTCCTACCCACCTCTACCATGTCCTCCCAGGTATACCAGTTTTTCAGCTGCCTCCCAGAAGACAAGGTCCCCTATGTCAACAGTCCTGGGGAGAAATACAGGATCAAGCAGTTGCTGCATCAGCTGCCCCCACACGATAGTGAGGTGAGAGAGAAGACGGAAAGAGCATGCTGGGTAGAGAGCACAACCTGGGCAAATGCAGGACAGTTGGAAATGGGTAGGGTTGAAGGAGAAAAGGTAACTGAGCTTAGGGCTGAACAGGCAGGGGCCATCAGGGAACATTCCTTGGCAAAACCATAGCTTGGCTTTGGAAAAAGGGGGAAGGGGTGGGTATTTCAGGCAGGAGGCACCAGCTATAGAAAGTCCTAGAAGTCAACTTGTCAGTGTGGATGAAGTCTGGAAGACCCCTGCTCCCCCTAGGCACAGTACTGCACAGCACTGGAAGAGGAGGAGAAGAAAGAACTGAGAGCCTTCAGTCAGCAGCGGAAGCGAGAGAATCTGGGGCGTGGAACTGTACGCATCTTCCCAGTGACCATCACTGGAGCCATCTGTGAAGAGGTAAATCATGAAGGGCCTTGGATTGAAGGTCTGGGGTGCAGGGCCCACCTATTAGGCCCTGAAAAGCTGAGGCCTGCCACTCAAGCCCTAGTGGACTGTCTCTAGGGCCTCCTCTACTGGAAAAGATGTGTCTCTAGAGCCCACTGATAGATAGGACCTGTCCCTGGGATCCCACTGTTGGGTATAGATTTTCTCTAAGGAGGCCTTGGTGTATTCTCTCCATGGTTTCTTTCCTCCATGCAATAACGGACATGGGCCGTGGGCTATCTCTCTTGTCCTCTGGTGGTCAGGACTTGTGCTTAAGAACTGACCCAAAGGCTAGAGGTATGACTCAGTGGCAGAGCACTATTTAGCCTGCTCAAGATTCAATCCCCAGCACAAAGAAACTGACCCACAGTGGCAGGACCTGTGTCCAAAGCCAAGTGGTGGGTGGAATTATCTCTAAGGCCTTTTATGGTGAGTGGAGCTTGTCCTTAGAACTTACTGTTGGTTGAAGTCTGTCAATAAGGTCCTGGTGGTTAGATCTGTTCTGTCTCTATGTCTGCTCCAGCCTCCTATGCAGGAGGATTGCCTGTAAGGCCACCCTCAATATGTAGTGCCTGTCTCTATGGTTTTTGAACATGAACAGGGTCAGTCCCTAAGGCACCCCCGTAAGTGAAAACTGTCTCCAAGTTACCCTGTAACTGATTTAAAAATATTACTGCTAAGCAGAATGGCATACACCCATAATCCTAGCAGCTCAGGAGGCTGTAGCAGGAGGATTGCAAGTTCAAAGCCAGCCTCAGCAGTTTATTGAGGCCCTGAGCAACTTAGCAAGACCCTGTCTCAAAATAAAAAGGGTAGAGATGTGGCTCAGTGGTAAAGCACCCCTGGGTTTAATTTCCAGTACCAAAAAATAAAAAAAGTTACCCTGTACGTGGGGCCAGTCATAAAACTTGACCATGGGAAAGGCCCAAGTGTGACATACCTGGCTGACCCAATCCATCTGACTATTTTAGTGATGGTGACCATGTCTGTCTGTCATTTGGCAGTGTGGGAAGCAGATTGGAGGTGGGGACATTGCGGTGTTTGCCAGCCGTGCAGGCCTGGGTGCCTGCTGGCACCCACAGTGCTTTGTGTGCACCACATGCCGGGAGCTGCTTGTTGACCTCATCTACTTCTATCATGCTGGCAAGGTCTACTGTGGGCGTCACCATGCTGAACGCCTGCGCCCACGCTGCCAAGCCTGTGACGAGGTTTGTGCCTCTCTGCCCAGGGGTGGGAGTGGAGGGTGGAAAGGGTCAGGGCAGAACCTTCTGACAGCTACAGATGGCCTGCACCTTCCAGATCATTTTTTCCCCTGAGTGCACAGAAGCTGAGGGCCGGCACTGGCATATGGGTCACTTCTGCTGCTTCGAGTGTGAAGCTTCACTAGGAGGGCAGCGCTATGTCATGCGGCAAAGCCGCCCCCACTGCTGTGCCTGCTATGAGGCCCGACATGCGGAGTACTGTGATGGCTGTGGGGAGCACATCGGTGGGTGAATAATGGGACTGGATGGAGGGATGCATGTATAGCTGGGCCACAGCCCCAAGCCACCAGGCCCTAGCCCCCACTACACCCTGTCCTTTAACTCAGTCCCAGCATCACAGTCTAGTGCTTTTCACTGCAAGCTCCATCCCCAATATCCCAAGCTTTGCCATAAGGCCTACTTACACATTAGGCCACTGTGACATGTCTCCACCCACCAGCAGCACAAAGCCCTTTAAGCCTAGCCTCTGCTTGCCCTGAGCTATGCCCCATTTTCTTCCACTTTCCTCCACCAGCCTAGATTTGGTCCCACCTTCTAATGACACTATCCCTTCTAAGCTCTGCCACAGCCACCCAGGCCTCTTCTTGAGGCCCACCCACCTGAAGTCACCTCCCTTTAATGTCTGTCTGGCTTGCATCATAAGAGTCCTCCAGTGATCAACCCCACTCCCAGAGGGGCACCCTGGGCAATAAAGGGAGGTGGGTAGGTAAGACATTTGCCAATCTTCAGGAGAGACTCAGGAGGATGAGGAGCCGTGTGGTGTGGACCAAACCCCACTCCAGAGTGATCCCATTTAGGAAGGGGGGCGGCAAATCAGGGTGCACTGCCTCAATCCACCACTTTTTTCCAATTAAGGCCCCATTCATGAGGACTGGGAGTATGCCTGGGGTTCTGCCTCAGTCCCCACCCCTGACTTTGGTCCCCACAGGCCTGGACCAGGGCCAGATGGCTTATGAGGGCCAGCATTGGCACGCTTCAGACCGCTGCTTCTGCTGCAGTCGCTGTGGCAGAGCCCTATTGGGCCGCCCCTTCCTGCCCCGACGTGGCCTAATCTTCTGCTCCCGAGCCTGTAGCCTTGGGTCTGAGCCCACCGCTCCAGGGCCCGGCCGCCGCAGCTGGAGCGGAGGCGGAGGCACAGTCGCTGCCCGGCTGGCAACTTCCACGTCCTCTTTCCCTGCTGCGGAGGTGAATTCTGAGACCGCCACCAAAGGCACCTGCACGGAGGCGGCGCCTGGTGAGAGCCACGCCCAGTCACAGCCCCGCCCCCACATCAACCTGAACCCTTGCCCAGGCCCCGCCCCAGTATTTGACCCAGCCTCCTTTGCCGCACCATTCCAGGCTGGTCTCCAGCCCCAGCTACACCTGCCTCGGGAACCCTGGGTTTACCCTGCTTTTATACAGGGTGCTTCTCTTGCTTCCTGGTGGAGTCGAAGTTCCTCCTTTCCTTCAACCCGTCACCCTCCACCCATTGCACTCAGGCCCCACCCCTATTCTGTGGTAAATCCAATCTACTCCATCCCAAGCCTCCTGTCTCCCATCCCAGAGCTTCCCCAACCCTTGGCCACGCCCCATACACCAATCGTACCTGGTTCCTCCTCACCCAGTCTGCACCAGGCTTCAGATCCCTGTCCCCACTTCCCTAGTCTTAGTGGGTGGAAAAGGAGAAGGCCTTTCCACAAGCCTCCTCACAGGTGGGGGCGGGTGGGGGATGCAGATATAGGGAGCCCCTATCTCTTCTTTTCCAGCTACAGGCGCCGAGGAGCCCTCCCCCTTTACGAGAGGGGCCCCCCATCGCCACTCCATGCCCGAGCTGGGGCTCCGCAACGTTCCTGAGCAACCCCTGGAGTCTCCGGAGCAACCAGACCTGCGTCCTGACGATAGTGTCTTTGGCCGCCAAAGCACCCCTCGTGTTAGTTTCCGTGAGCCTCTGGTCTCAGAAGGAGGTCCACGGAGGACCCTGAGTGCACCTCCAGCCCAGCGCCGGAGGCCACGTAGTCCCCCACCTAGGGCCCCCAGCCGTCGACGCCACCGCCGCCACCACCATCACCACCACCACCACCACCGCCACACTGGCCGACGTGGCTACCATCGCTGTGACTTGGGATCAGGGTCCGACTCAGGATCTTGCTCCAGCTCACCCTCCAGCCCCAGTTCTGAATCCTCTGAGGATGATGGATTCTTCCTAGGGGAACGTATTCCACTGCCCCCTCACCTGCGCAGGCCCACAACCTCTCCCGACAGTGCAGCTGAGACTTTAGGCTCTGCGACCCCACAGCTCCATGGGGATTCTCGCACAGGGATGCCTCGCCAGGCCCGAGACAAGAACTGCATCCTGGCTTAAAGACCTAGGCAGCTCTGGAGGGGGCTCTATTCTCCGATAAGCGTAGATGATGCCGCCCACCCTGAACTAAGTCAAATACCCTTTCTTCCTCCCTCTTTCTTCTGTTTGTATTATTGAAATAATTTAATGTTTGTCGTAAAACAGGCCTGGCTTCTTTGCTTCCTTTACTCCAGGTCAACCCACCTGGATGTTTGAGATTTGTTCACATTTGATCAGAGGATTAATTTATTCATAGATTTTAACAATGTTTATTATTTATTTCTCTCTCCACAGAACCATCCCCCAAAATGAGGAGGTTATTTGGAGTGGGTCACCAGATGGAGTGTACACTCTGAAATCCTAGGCACCCACTTCCCTCACTTTGTGGTTTAGGTGGGAGTGTGGTCCAGGCAGAACTGAATACTGCAGAAGGGAGGGGGACCTAGGCATACCCATAAAGGTGACCATACCCAGGATGATTGAGTAGCAGTCTGGAAGACAAAATTCTCCCAGAAAAGGCACTGTTACCTCAACAGGGGGCTAGAAGTTGGTTGGCTGGGAGGATTGTTGTGGGAGTGGGAAGAAGTGTTTTCCAAAAGAAGTTATTTTCAAATTGCAGAGAGAAATGAGGGAAGTTCTCCTACACCGGGCCATCTGTGGGGTCTGCAGGAGGAAAAGAGAGAAAACATCCATGTGCCTATTTTTAAAAAAATATTTATTCTTTAGTTGTAAGTGGACACAATACCTTTATTTAATTTTTGTGTGGTGCTGAGGATCAAACTCAGTGCCTCACACATGCTAAATGAGCACTTTTCCTCTGAGCCACAACCCCAGCCCCATCCATATGCCCATTTTACAAACAGGAATGTTGAAGCTTATGGCACTTACTGATACGAGACATAAGGGCATTATTACCCTCCCTTGGGAGACCCCTTTCCTTTTTCTCCTTTGCTCTCTCAGCAACACACACACACACACACACACACACACACACACACTTACCAGTGGGGGCTGCTGTATGTCTTTGTTGCCGAAGAGGGAAGGTAAAGTAGGCATCATAGCCAAAGAGGCACACAGCTATCAGTCCCAGTACCTGGGGATGGAGATGAGAGTGAGGGAGTTGGATTAGGTGGTTGGCCCATTCAGACTCTTAACTCCCGGTATCCACCACCTCCAGGGACTGCCCCATGCAGGATGGTAACTCCTATCTAGATTGGAAGCCCCAGAGCCAAAGAGAAAGTCCAGTAGGCTGGATTCTACCCCACTCCGCCCCTAGGACCTCTCAACACAGGGCAGCCAGCCAAATGTAGGGGGCATATTTCATCCTACATTTGAGACAAAGTTCTAACAGATGGCAATCTAGCATGTTTATACTTCCAACAAAGGCCCTGTGTCTGACAACGGGCAGCCCTTTATAGCAAATGATCTTTGGAGATAAACCATGGCTGGGGCCAGATTTTCCTGTTGGCCCTGAGAATAAGTTTTTGCCAAAAGCAGAAGCAGATGGTCCCTGGATCTTCAAACCCTTTTCCCTATGCTCTAGAGGTGCCTCCACAGGCTTACCCCTGCAGCGATTCTGGATTGGCTTCTGTTGTCAACAAGGACTAAAATGGAGGTGATCAGGTAGAGGATCGATGCTATGAGAGTTCGGAAGAAATCCTGTGAGGTGTAGGGAGAAGAGGGAAGTCAGCATCCAGAGTTCCCCAGACAATCCCAACTGCCCAGGCCCCTGCCCAGCTTGCCATTTTGACCCCTTCTCACACTCCAGGGCCAGTTGATGAATGGTATCTTGGCGTGCAGCCCACACATGTAGATGACAAAGAAGACAGCAGCAAGGATCATCTCAATCACAGACAGAGAGGAGTACGCTGATGTGGAGGCACTGAAGCAAATCAGAATCACCAGGCACAATACCTGGAAGGGTGACATGGGAAAGGGGGTCCCAGTTAGTTCTGAAGGCTGAGGGAACTAGTTTAAATTGGGAGAGTAGGGGTCTCAAATTCAAATGCCTACCAGAAAAAATAAATGAATTCCACTTCTCAGAGCTGGAAATATACCTCAATGGTAGTACCTTCCATGCACAAGGCCCTGGGTTACATCCCCAACACCCTCCCCCCCTCCAAAAAAAAAAAGATCCACTTCTCAGATACCTACCAGGTCTGGGAAAAAATGACACACAATAATTGCTAAACACTTTCTGTGTGTTCCCTGTGCCTGGAGCAATGTGGGTTTTTGTTTGTTTGTTTGGTTGGTTGGTTGATTGGTTGGTTTCTAGAGATTGAACCTACAGGTACTTTACCACTGAACTACATCTCCAGCCCTTCTTATTTTGAGACCAGGTCTTGCTAAATTGCTCAGGGGCTTGCTAAATTGCTGAAACTGGCCTCTAACTTGTGATCCTCCCGCCACAGCCTCCCAAATCGCTGGGATTACAGGCTTGAGCCACCATGCTGGGCTCTAAGCATTGTTCTCAGTTAAAAATATTGATTCATTTAGTCATCACAACCACCTAATGAGCTAGATACTATTAGTATCTCTGTTTTACAGATGAGAAAAGTGAGTCAGAGAAGTTAAATGGCTTCCCAGGGTCACTCATAAAGTAAGGAGTACAGTTGGGTGCCTCAGTTCCCCCGCTTTCCCTTCTAGGATGTCGGCTGCCTGAGGGGAGTGGCTCTGCCAGGTGTTTTGCGAGCAAGGCTGGCGCCAGCTTCCAGCCCATAAGGAGGCGGAACCAGCAACCCCTTTGGGAAGCGGTGAGAGTGACACTGGAGGGGCAGGGCTCCGTTAAAGGTACCGCACCCTTCTCATAAGTGACTCAAAGGCGGTGCCCACTTTGAGGGGCGGGAAACCAAGGTTCCCCAGACGCCTGAAGAGCTAAGGACCTTCCTCCCAGTCCCAAAAGGGCAAGAAAGAACTGGCGGAGGGTGGGGCACACCACCCCACCACACTAGTGCACGGGGCCCCACCCCAACAGGCCCCTCCTCTCGGCACACTGCCAGCCCGCCCGCCAGTGTCCAGGCCGCGCCACGCCCTGCCACGGAAGGCACCCCACTTCTCAGCCCCCCACGACCCCTTGGCTCAGTCCACTGAGTCCTAGAGGGCTTCTCCCACCAAAACCCCCATGTGCGTCCCAGGCTCCCCGCTTCGTCCTTGCTCCACCAACTCTCCAACACCCTCCCAAATCCCACCAACTCCCGCTGCACCCCCAGTTCCCAGCCTCGGCCACGAACCCAGCCACCTGCGCCCCAAGGCCCTGCGCCCCAAGGCCCAGCGCCCCGACCACGTGCCTGCCTCACCCCGGACTGTCCAGTACCGCGTGGTCGCGCCACCCCACCCCGCCTTTGCCCACCCGCCTGCCCGGGGACGCTCACAATCTCGGCGAACAGGAGGATTCCCTTGCGGGTGCGCGAGTAGCTGGTGCAGGCGGCCCAGCAGCCGGGGGCCGAGAGACGCTCGGAATCCGCCATGGCGTGGGTTGGAGTTCCTGCGGGTACAGAGGATCTGCTGGCTCGCTGGCTCGCTGGCTCGCGGGTTCGAGGACGCTGCACACCCAGCCGTCTTGCCCGCCGTCTGGCCGGGAAGGGGGCCCCCGGGGCGAAGGAGGGAGTGAATCACCGCGCTGAGCCCAAGCGGGCGGGGCCGGAGGGGGCCGGGCCAGGTGGCTGCCGCCCCGGAAGCCCCCTCGCCCCGCCCGCCAAGGACTGTCCCAGCCCGGCGCAAAGCCTTGGGGACGCCCCATCCCCAAGGTGCTTTGCAGCTCCAGGTACCGGGCGGGCGCGGGAATATCAAGACTCTTCGCCTTTTTAAAATTCAAAACAGAGTTGCCTCAACTTAGAACTGCGGGAATCTGGCTTTGGGAGGGAGTGACTCAGTTTCCTCAGCTGAAAACCAGCCGAGGCCATGGTTAAACCCGAAAGTCTAAGGGCCAGGTATGTTTCCAGAATTCGGAAAATGTTGGATTTTAGAAAGTTTTCCCGATGCCTGTATGATATATTACTTAACACCCTCGGCGAGGTCTGGGATGGTTAGGGTTAATTATTTCCTCAAAAAAAAATTGTGAATGTTCATAAAAAGTGGGATAAATAAGGACTGAATATTGTTTTTCATCAGATCAGGTCAGCTTGTACGGACGATTAGTACCAAACCTGTGGTGGGCATGGGGCAGTCAGTTTCCAGAGCTTTTTGGATTTTGGAACTTTGGATAAAGGATAGCGGAGTGAAATAAATCTCAGCAGTGATGAGAATGAGACCATGGTGATGCAAAGGTGGAGTTAAAGCGGGGCCTGATCAGCATGGAGCTGCTCAGTAAATGGGGGTGGACATTGTTAATAGGTTTAGAGCCAGGACAGCCCAGGGTCTGATTCTGTGCAGTGCGATTCCAGAGAAGTCTTGGCCCTAAGTGCTGGGCCTCAGTTTCCAGTTTTGAGGAGAAAGGCATATTTATTGCTGCGAGCTTGGCAAGGTAGGGGATGGCTCCTGAAATGCAAGGCTGAAGACATAGTTGTTGTCATTTGCAGAGTTATTATACTGAGCAAGTAACTTCTGGCTCAGCCTGGATGCCTGTGTCTGAAACATGCACCTGGTTACCTGGAATCAACACCCCAATGTGTTATGATGACACACTCTCTAGACTGGACATCAGTTTCATTCTCATCTCATTTGAGGTGTAGAGTCATAGTTGGATTCATGGAAGGATTCACCTTGTGGACCTGCCTGCTGTCCCCCTCCCAAACACAGGGCCCCTCAAATTTAAGGCTGCTGAAAGAGTGACTGAATAGTGGAAGGGGTAGAAACATTTTTCCCCAGTGCTGAGTGTGTGCTTTCTATTTCAGTAAGGAATGCCCAAATTTCTTGAACAAGACAAACTCAGCTGCCTTAGGACCTTTGCACTTGTTCCAGCTGCTGTCAATGCCATTTCCCCACAACTAGTCATCTGACTTGTGATCATTCAGGTTCCAGCTCATATGTCATGTCCTCAAAGAGGCTAGCAGCCCACCATGATCTTCCCCAACATAACCTCCTTTTGCTATCTTTGTAATTCTCACTTTTTTTCTGAAATTGTCTTTTAAAAATTCATTGTCTTATCTTTCTTATCTGACATATGCCTACCCTCATGACGTCTGCTACACACAGATGGAAATATATATTTTTGGAAATGTAACAATAACCTTTATTCATCTTTATGTCTTATTCCACAAGTATCCCCATAATACTTCCATGCAAGGTATACAGACAGCCAAGTTTCTATTACTACTTGTCAAATATAGGTGAGATTAAGAGGACAGGTTCAGAAATCAAGCTTTGATTAACTCTTTCTTCAACCTCTTCACACACACACACCTAAAGCTATTTTCATTTGGGGCCTTGCTTTCCCCCACTGTGAAATGGACCTACAGGCTACTTGAGTAGGTGTGTAACTAGATGAAAATAAATACTGCACTAAAACCACTAGCAGAGATGAAGTGATATGAGATAAATGTGACTGGGATTATTATTATTAGTCCCCTGGGTGTGACTGTGTTTATAGGAATGGGGCTCTAGAACCCTTCCTGACAACTGTGGAGTCATGCCTCCTCCAGGCTCTGAGTCAAAGGTAGCTGGAAGACGGACACTCACTGCTATGTGTACAGTGCTAACCATTAAAATGTTCTTCATAATCCAACTCAGTTTTGCAATCCTTGTCTCCACTCCAGCACAACCCCAGACTCTCGCACTCTGACCCTTTAATTTCTCTCTCTACTTCCACACCTCTTCACCATAGGGACTGAAAGTTGCCAGTTCCAGTCAGACCACAGCTTCCCTCCTTGGGGGGTTGGGGCCCAGTGTTCAGGATGTGGTGACCGCAAAGGTGTCCTAATATTTCTGGTCTCAGACTGCAGTTGCCTTGGGGCTACCCTGGTTAGAATCCCGCTGGTCTTATAAGCCCCAGCTGTGGGGCTCCGCTGGAAGGGTGGAGGAAATTCTGTGTTTCTCTAGGGACCTGGAACGCCCAGCATATGGCGTGTAAGCACAAGGCCCGCTGCAGTTCGTCACCATCTATGGAAAAGTGGGGCGTGGCCCAAAGGTTCTAACTGCCCTTTTTAGCCTGGCCCAGCCCCGGGCGATGACTCACACCTTCCCGGCTCCTGTCCCAAAGGGGGCTCCAGGGCCCCAGCCTGTACCCTGAGGATGGCAGTCTCCGTGCCAGCAAAAGCTGGCTTCTAGGCCGGAAATGGGAGACCGCAGACTCCTAGGGAGGAAAGCCGCCCTGCTTCTAGACTTGCTATCTTTATGTAAGCTGAGAGTCTGAACGATTCTGAGCTGCGACAGCAGGTATACGTTGAGGACACTACCACATTCCCCATGCCACAATCATATATGTGGAGCGTTTCACGTCTCCAAACGAGTGAAATGAATGAATGGGGAGGAGCAGGAGTTAACACAAGGAAAACGAAAGGGGAGCAAGCCCGCGAGCCCAGCGACGATGGGCAGAAGCGAAAACTTGAAAGCAACTGCGCGCAGCTCATCGCTGGTTACTAGAGGTCCTCCTCGAAACCGGATGGACCCACCCCCTCCTTTCCAGGGTGACCTGGAAGCCCCACCCCTCCTGGAGCACCTGGCAAGTCAAGACTAGATCAAACCATTTTATTACATCCCCGCCCAGAACCAGAAGCGTGGGTTTGAGGGGGTCTGGGAAGGCTGGACTGCAGATGCCTGGAGGGGAGCGCGGGCCAGTCAACTACGTGGTGGGAGGGAAGACCAGACAAGTAGGAGCTCTCAGCCCGACGCTAGTGCATTGCGGTCGGGGCCCATCGGATCCAGACTGGACCCTACCAAGTGAGCACCGAGCCCTATGTCGTCTGCTCAGTGCCTTCTCGTTCCAGCTGCTGTCTCCTGAGCGAGCTGCGCAGCCCTTGGGAGACCTAGGGCCCGCGAGAGCCGCTCCTCACTCGGCACCAGCCAGGGTCCTGGGGAACCAGGGATACGGTCATCAGGGTCCTCCATGTGGCGCTCTGCTGGAGGAACTGCGGGAGCGTCGACCGCTGCCTCTGGACTAGGCTCAGGGCTGCCCAGCGTCTTTGGCGTCCTATTGAACTGAGGGTGGTGAACTGGGGAAAGGCTGGCACTGTGAGACTTCATCATCGCCGGACCTACAAGATCTGGACGGCAGTCTGGGAATGACAGGGCTACAATTTAGATTGATGGAGTAGAAAACGGAAATTGGGGGCCAGGGTTTAGGATGGCCCAGAAGGCCCAAGGGTGGCAGGAAACAGAGACACCCCCCCTCCCTTAGAGAAATCTTCCTCCACCTTCCTGGAGGTGTCCAGTGACTAGTACCCCCACACACAAGCCCCAACACCTCCTTTCTCTAGAAAGGACACGCACACAGAAATCATTTCCCATAATCCCTAAAGGAAATCAAACCATGACCTTGGCCTTGGCACTAATAATCTCTCCAGTCTAAGACCTTTGACTATTCCCTCTCTCATCTCACCTTGACTCCCAACTTTTCCCTTATCAACCCTTTGTCTCTCAGAACTAAACCTTCTACTCTCTAGATCTCCATCCCATATCCTCCCAGCTGAGACTCCATTCTGCCTATCCCTCCAAGGACTAAGACCCTGCTGAACACTGGCTTTTATTATTGTTAGGAGTAGTAGGAGTGGTAGAACCAGCAACTGAACCCAGGAGCGATTAACCACTGAGCCACATCCCCACTAAGTTGCTGAGACTGGCCTCAAATTTTCATCCTCCTAACTCAGCCTCCCAAGATGCTGGGATTGTAGGTATATGCCACCACACCCAGCTGAAGATCTGCTTTTACCCCAGATCTCTTCCCTCCTCTCCTTTCCCCTATAGAAAGTTTCCCCTCTGAAATTCCTTTCCTGGGAAGGGCTCCCCTCCCACCCCCACTTTCAAAAATATACTAACCCCACTTAGACACCAAATCCTGATCCTCCCCACTGAGACCACTAAACCCCTTCTAACCTCTCCTTCCCCTCACAGACCTCTAATTTCCTTCCCTAGAAAACCCACTCCTTCCCTTTTGGGACCCACCCATCCCCTTGTGCTTGCCAGTTTGAGTCTCATTAGGCCTCTGCAACACAAGCCGAAGCCGGGAACCTCCAGTGCGGATCCGATCCACCGCTTGGGCATGGGTAAATCCCTGCGTTGACTCTCCGTTGATATGGAGAATGAGATCACCAGCCTGCAAGAATGCAAGGCAGTGGTGGTATAGGAAGGAAATATAGAGAGCTTCTGGACAAAGGTGGGGATCACACCTATGAAAGGAGGGTGCTTAGGGCTAACCTGCAAATGACCACAACGCTGTGCTGGCCCATCCTTCAGCAACCCACGCACAGCCAGTGGAGCATCACCTACTACATCTCGGCCCCCACTTAAAGTGAGGCCAAAGCCTGTGCGATTGCGGACTAGCTCCACAGAGAACCGACCAGAGTGGAGTGGCTTTGAAGCACATTTTGCCATATCCTGGGTCACTCGAGTTGGCGCAGTAGGAATACCCAGAGTCTCTGACCTAAAATGCTGGAGTAAGGACACAAATGTACATTGATTACCTGCCCTAAAGCAGATGGCTTTGAATACATGGGTGAGGTGGTACCTGAGGTTGGTGTTCCACAACAGTGGTATGAGGTAGGCGACTGTCTGTGACTTCT